TTCTCGGAAAGATATGTCCACTTACAAGGAAATTATTTTCTAAGAAGTATAATTTGAATATATTTAGTATACAAGTCAACTTCATGGGAAGCAAATTACTTTCAGATTACAAAAGACAATATTGTTCATAATACAAATTTATATGTGTTTAGATAATAGGACAAAATGGTAAACTTTCAAATTACAAAAGACAATATTGTTCATAATATAAATTTACATGTGTTTAGATAATAGGACAAAATGGTAAATTAACTAGAGAAATGCAACTTCCCTAGTCATCTCTAAAGAAGTTGCTTCCCTTATGTAAGGAAAGTAGGATAGACTACTTCGAGGAAATAGAATTGAAAATGCAAATTAAAATAAGTATTTTATGCACTTTCCCGTAACTCACAATTCCCTAGTTTCCTTATCTCCAATCAAACATCACTTTTAGTTTGGAACAGAAACTGATCTTGTACTATTTTATTTATTTCGATTTAACTAGATGTGTTTTTCTTATAATAAATATATTTTTTTTCTTAATTTTTTATTATTGTTTTGTCTCCATATTATTTGAGATTTAATATTATACATTTCTGCTAGTTTATTATTGAAAAGAATTTAAACATTTTTTTTCTTTTATTAAAAGATGAACGAAATGGCAGCTCTATATGAGAGTAATTATCTATATATAATACTTTGATATTATTAATGAATTATTAATTATATTTCTGAAAAAAAAATTATCTTTTGTAAGTGGAGAGGTATTATGATTATTGAATTATATTTCATGAAAAAGTCTTGTGTGTAAGTGGGAGAGGAATTTTATTTTGAAAATCAGAAGGAGGGGTCTGAAAGCTCATTAACCACACAAGCAATGTTGCAAGCCACACCGTTCTATCAGCATGAACAAGTCACGAAACACCAGTAAAGAATGGAGAAATTAAACAACACTACTATCAGTGCGGACCATGAATAGCTCCTTTGCTAACAATCGGCAGACCGAAGGTTTGAGGCTTCCCTATAAAAGTTATACATGAGTCTTCACCTCACCAATCACGAAGAAGAAGAGAACTGCCAAGCCCTCCCAATCACGAAGAAGAAGAGAACTGCAAGCTGTAAACAAATTATGATTGCGGTAACCACCTGCCTATCGAGACTGAAGCATATCGACAACCACCTGAGAGTTGCATTGTAAATGAATATGCCGCCATACTCTATCCCATGCTATCAGCAGAGCATGGTAAACAACCCATTGGTAAAGCATACCAATCAAGAGCTAGAGAAAACCCCAACTGCCATAGACCATTCCATGAACGAAAGGAACCTGCACAAGCAACTATGCCAGGCTGACCGCAAGCACTCCCATCAGTATTAATTGTAATCCATCCAACAGGTGCTGGCACCCAAGAGACAAGACATGTCTGAATCGGCTGAGTGCTACCACTAATTCTTTTGTCATTGTCCCAAGCTTTCCGCACCTCCTGAACTTTAAGACAAATAAAATCACAAGTGATCTATAAGAGACCTCAGCAACAGGAGAATAAGGATAAAAAATCCTCTTATTTCGCTCCTTCCAGATCCACCAGATACACGGTGCAAAGTTAACACTCCAAAGGCCCCCTATAGAACAAATCTCCGTAGAACTGAGATTATTAAGAATCCATTGAGGCACTATGTTAGAGGCAAAATCATCACACAAATCATCAACAAGGAACCAGTTCCAAACTCTGCGAGCCCTACTACAATCACGAAGAGTATACAGCACTGTTTCACTAGCGCCATTGCAACTAGAACCTGTTTCACTAGCGAACCATTGCAACTAGCACAAGAGTCAACAGAAAAGTAAACCCCTCTACCACAGTGCAGAGCCCGATTATTACTAATCATGGACATAGCCCACATAAGATATCTTGGCTCTAATCGGCGTGGTTCGATGATTTCTCACTTGGTGGTCATTTCATATATAATACTCACTGTTGAAATCTCATTCACACTTGAACATTTCAACAATAGCTAGATTTGGAATCATACTTTTCTAAGTGGACTAACCGTCTAAAAATCAAAGAAGGCATTAAATAATTTTGCTATATGCCATCTCTTAATCTTGTTTAAATTTTTCATATCTCTTAAAAAAAAAAAATCATTAAATTTGTCTAAATTACAGACAATAAATTATTCAGTAAATTAACTACATTATTCTTAATTTAATATATCCAAACACTGATTTTTGAGGAATTGAAGCAACAATTCTTGCTCATATATAAAGTGCTACATGAAAGGAAAAATTTATTACCAGGAGAAAAGTTCTTAGAAAGAGGCAAAGAATAGTTTTCAAAATCCAAGGCTGGAGGTTAAGCAAAGATTCTCTGCTGCAAAGTTAAATAGTTCAAGATATGCTTGAAAGAAATTTGAGGGGAAAACTTCTGCATAACCCATAGATATATTCCAGAGTTCTTTAACAAAAGTCATCTATTATCTTCGCTAATCTTCTGTTCCTATAGAATGCTCTACTAAATAAAAGTTATTTTCTAATTAGAAATTTAACATATAATCTGTAATGTAAATCTGATGGAACTATAAAAATCATCGGCATCGAAAATGAAATACGTAGCCGGAAATATTGACTGAACCGGAGTTTGAGTTGATAGATGTAACTTGTGTGTTTTTCTATCTCTAGAACGGCATTTAGGTTTTTATTTTGTTTTTTTTTTTCTGATTTATTGAAATTAAAGCATTAATAACTAACATGTTACTACCTCGGTTCTATAGTCAAATTTGAGAAAATAGTTTGTTTTAAAATACTTGTCATATTTGTGGTTTGAAGGTATAATAAATACTTTTTTACCATGTTTACCCTTTCTATATGACCAATAATCATTACTTCAATTTAATGGATTTTTTAGAAAATTAGTAATTAACGGTAATATAGCTAATTTACTCAATAATTTATTATAACTTAAACAAATTTAATGGTTTTCTTATAAGACGTGAAATTCCAAATAAATGTGACAAGTACATGAAACAGAACTAAGTATATTTTTTATTAATTTGGCTATTATTCGAGAGACATAAAACTAGAGTCTAAAAAGATTTTTTTTATCATTAATTTGAATTAATAATTAAATAAGAATAATTAGAAAGTAGCTATTCTAATACTAAATAGAGCCGTACAAGGTTGAAACATTCTTATTCTATGCCTTTAAGTGAGGAGGAATTATTGAACTAAGAAAAAATAACTATCTTTACTCCGTCCATTTGTTATACAACTCGGTTTTGACAAAACATAAAAATATTAAGACCATTTATTAGTCAATAAAAATTATTTTACCCTTTTTCATCCTTAACTCATTAAGATATTAATAAAATTATTTATTTAATGAACAATTATAAAGATTATTATGAGAAAAAATAATTGTTTAAATGTATAAATTTATAAATCTTGTAAATATTTTGGGACATTCAAAAAAAAAGAATAATAAACAAATAAAATTAGATGGATGAAGTATTTAATATGATTTTTTTTTATTTTATTTCATATTGAAAAATCAACTACACTACATATTATGTCGACAACTCTTTTCCTCTCTACTGCCTTGTTAATGGCTTCTCCAGTGGCCTAATTGAGCTATAGTGGTCAGTAAGCTTCACATACAAGTTGGTTTATCTTCAAAGGTTGGTTCATATTGCCCTGAATGTGTTCGATGAAATTCCGCAATAAGATTGTATCTGAACCACAAGCTCTCTCTGCTAAGCATCTGTAGATCAGATCCACAGTCAGTTCGACAAGCCTCTAAAGCGCCGCCGGTCGCAGCTTCGCCACCTCCGGTTGTCTCTCCGGCGAACATCACCCGGACTCAAAAAAAAAAAAAAAAAAAAAAAAAAAAAAAAATATAATAAAATTTCTGGCAGTGTTGTGTGTGTGTATGCGCGCTTGATTTCTGGCAGTGCGTTATTATCACTAAGGCAGATGCTTTGGTTTCATCACTGAAAGCACACTCCAGCAACAATATTTTTGTTTGGTGGCCCATCTTCTTCCAATCATAGCCCCCCTTTCAAGCTCACCACCGGAGGCGACCCCACAGGGGGTGGCTGGCCGGAGTTTTGCATTTGCACTCACTGGCCAATCTTTCAGTCCGAAAACAATTGAGGATCTTAGATCTTTTGCTTCCATCGACAAAAATAAGAGGTTATCATCTAAAACTCCTAGAAGGCTTTTCCTGCTGTTAATTTCACTGAGGATGATATTCAGAAACTATCTCTCCCATACCAATATGCTTTGATTGGAGCTTTTCTGTTTGGAAGACCTTCTATGCAGGCTTTGAAGAAGGCTTTTGATCTTATTGGTTTAAAGGAGATTTTACATTGGGTTTAATTGATTCGAATCATATTCTGATTAACTTTTTTCTTGAGGAGGATTTTCTCCGTTGTTGGCTTCGTCAGACTTGGTTTTTTAATGGATTCTCTATGCATGTCTCCAAATGTTCTGCCTCTTTTCGACTAGATGTCGATAGTTCTATTGCTCCTATCTGGGTTTCTCTTCCAGGGCTCCCCATTCATTTTTTTGACAAAGAGGCTTTATATTCTATTGTTGAATTAATTGGCATTGATTTAGAAAGCCTCGTCAAAATCAACATCTTTTAAAAATCAATCTCCTTCATCATCAGGTGCTCAGTGGCAGACCTTTGAAGGTAGATGCCTCCACTGCTTCATTAGTTCGGCCTTCGATTGCAAGGGTATGTGTTGGGTTAGATATCTCTGCTGATTTGCCTCAACGTATTTGGATTGGGAATGGAAATTCCGGTTTTTTCCAAGCTATCGAATATGAGAATCTTCCTAAGTTTTGTCTATCATGTATGAAATTGGGTCATGACAGTTCCACCTGTCCACCTGTAGGATGGCTTCTACCAGTAATGTGCCAAATCAATTTATTAAGCCTGTTAAGAATGTTATTGAACCATCTCAAGCTCAAGTTTGGGTCCCCAAGAAACAGCCTCCTTCGACAGAGTTTCAAAATCAGAATTCCATTGATGCTATATGAAACAACCCGAATTTTTATTTTCAAAGATTTTTCATTTAAATTTAATAAACTGACAGCGTGGAAAATGTATGTAATTATTTACATGCAAATTAATAATTTGTACAGCGATAAACCGAATCGAAAATCAATGGATAATTGACAAATCAAATAAAAACCAAGATTTGGGCTGAATCGAACCTCAAATAAAAACCAAGATTTGGGCTGAATCGAACCAGAGTTGAATCGAATCAGCCCAAACCACTTCTAGAACTCTCCCCTCTCCCCTTATTTCCAGCGCTCACCTCACTCCCTCATTTTTTTTTGCACCCCCTGACCACCAACGCAGCACCGCCACCTCTTCTTCTTCTTCTTTTTTTTTTCTTTCTGTTCTTTTCTTTCTTTTTCTTTCCTTTTCTTTCCTGCGCTTGCGACTCCACTGCTGGCAGAAGCAGATTGCGCCCCCACCAGCTCGATCGTACTCCGTCGCACGCCACAGCCGTTTTCCTCCGCTCGATTGCTGCTCCTTGCAAACCCAGCCACAGCTCCGCCACTGTTCCTCCGTGTGCTCAGCCTTGTTGCAGCTCCAGCGCGCTGCCGACCTCCAGGAGCAGATCTGTCGAGCCTGCAGTTGCGCCACCAGCTGCTCCGCCACCAGATCGCACAGCGCCACCACTGCAGCTCAACTCCTGCGTCGATCTCAGGCTGTCCAGTCGCTTCCAGCACGCGTAGCTCCGATCCGGCACGAGTAAATCCCTGATTTAGCAAGAAAAATTATATTTGGGGTATAAATCAATTTCTGCTAATCTCAGAATTTATTTTTAGTAATTTTGGGTTAACTAATTTAAATTAAAATTTTGATATTGAATTATTGATTAATGAGAGTTAATTTCAGTATTAAATAAATTATTAGAAAATTTTGATTTAAGGAATTAAAGAAAAATTTATAAATTTATGTTAATACGGAAAATGTGGAGGATGGATGAGATTTGTTGATTGAATTGATTGCCCGATGGATGGGCGCTGCGTGGTTTGGAATTTAATTGATATAATGTTGATGTTTTAATAGGTGGATAATCCAATTTTTAAGGGAGATGCGGCCGAAAAGTCGGTAGAAAATAAATTACTTATAGAGATTAAATTATTCATAGAAATTAAAAATATAGAATAAGATTATGAGAGTGATAAATAAACAAATAAAGAAATAAACAAGAGGAACAAATTTATATATAGTTCGGTAAATTAAATACCGACTCAAGTTATTAACGTTATGAATATTATATGATAAATCGTATTATCATTATTAATATTATTATTATGAATCATATTAATATTTTGATTAATATTATTATAAAATATTAATTACCGAATAATTAGACGTTTTACTTAATGAATAAATTAGAAGAAATAAATCAAATAAAAATGCACTATAGATATATGGTATAGTTTGATAAGTTAGTGAACCGACGGGTAACGAAAACAAATAAATGAATGTAAACTGCATTTCCCAAATTAGAATTCTTATGTAGAATTTTCTTATTATATAGATACTTATATATAAAGTTTTCGGACGTGTGAGACAAAGGCTGGAACGGCACAATAAGAAAGGCAGTCCTTTTAAGGACAACAAAAAAACTGTGAGTTAGTGTTAGTAACTAGTATCATCCGGCCTGGCATTGCATCATTCACGGCTAAATGATCGTGCGTTATTTTTGTTGAATTATCATTCACTTGTGATGCACTTTCGTTGATATTAAAAAAATTGTTTGATTATTGTGTTGTGATTATTTTGTGTGCCTTTTGTTTTGTGTGGGAATTGGGATGAAGTGGGTCACCAGGTGGGGTATTGTGAGACCGTTTTACCGCCCCCCCCCCCCACTTATATGGATCGCTGTATGATTCCGTTACCATTATTATGGGATCCTGATTACCGTTAGCCGGGGTAAATTGGAGATCGGCGCCCCCGTGATGCATCTACTGTTTACCGTTACCGTTAACCCAGGATGGCCGCTTGTTTGTTGCGCACATTGAAAATTAGATTTGATTGCAGCCCCAGGGTGGCCTCCTGTTGTGAGCGGCTTGATGATCTAGATTGGATGGAGACCACCGGTTTGCCGGCAGGGGCCCCCCCCCCCATCCTGTTGGTATGGAAAGAAAAGAGGATGGAAAACATGAGAGGGCTGGTCAAGTGAGGATTAGACCTGTGGCCAGTATGGGGGATCGGCTCCCTGGTGCACACGCTGAAGAGGATGACCATGTGGGAGGACGACTCATCGGGGGTTCGGGTGACTCCACTACTAATTTCCACGTGATGTGATTATATGGAAGATTGATATAATTGTGTTGCTGTGGTATTGTCATTTGTGTGACCAATTGGCATGTTTCAAAAATTAATCGGTTGACCAGGTAAAATATTTTAGCATCTGTGTGATTGTGTGGGGTGAGAGGTGTTATCTACCCTTATCATTGAGTTTGGCGCTCACCCTGCCTACCTATTTTTTTTTCAGGAATAGTGGAAAGAAGAGTCCTATGGAATTTGAAACAATAATTATCAAAGAAGCTGTTATGTGAATGAAATAATGAGAAATGTAAAGGTAGAGTTCCGCGCAATTGTAATTCCGTTGGAGTTGTAAATGGAATAATAAAAGTCCATTATTAAATATTAACTAAAAAAAAAAAAAAAAAAATTCATACCAAAATATTTTATATTTTCTTCAATTCGAATCACCCTTTTCCTTTAATAATTGAACATCAATTATGAATTGAGCATCAATCTCACAAAATGCATGGCCAAATCTGGAAATGCTAACATCCTCTGGGTGTAGAAAACAATTTTATGATTTCATTCATTAATTTCAATTCTGGAATGACAGATAACATTTTTACTATTTTGTCAATGTTATTTATAGATGCACTGGAGGGACTCTATGCTATCAAATTGCATAATAAAGATTATATAAATATGCAAATATAAAAAATCAATCCACATGTAGTGTAGTATATGATTGTCATCTGGACACAGAGTTCTACAGGAGAACAGTCAAGTAAACTTTTTCATTCTTCAATCAACAGACAATGTCTTGATGGACAGTGCTCCTTTAATTGATGCTGAAAAGGTCTCTTGCCCGTCTGATGTTGACATTGGTGAAGTTAATAATAAATTTTCTTCTTTGGCAGTGATTCAGAATTTATAGCTAACGTTGATGATCTCAGAAAGGCAGGTTCAATGATTGCTGAAAAACTTTCAGCTGGTAATGTAAATGGTAATTTTGAATCATCTTCTGGTTTGGGATTTATTAAAGTGATGAAGAAACAATGCAACCGTAAAGTTAAAACAGCTATTGAGCTTCTCCAGCCTACACGGCGTCAAAAGAAAACTCAAGCTTCCTCTGATTGCATCCGACCCAATGAATATACTGAGCTGGAATCTTAGAGGTCTTCCATCTTCTTCTAATCGCTTGCTTCGGCTCTGCCGCACTCATCACATTTTTCTGCTTTTTGTGATTAAACCCATGGTCGATGCAGGTAAAAGTTATTTTTATGCTTCTAAACTTGGATTTGACAATGTTTATTCAAATGGGAATAACAAGATATGGATATTATGGAAAGATAGTTCTCTGCAGCTTTCAAATTTTGTTGATGATATTCAAATATTGAGCTATTCTGCTTTTATTCATTCTCTTTCGATTACCATTAATCTGTCTGTAGTGTATGGGTATCACTCACGTGCTCAAAGGAGCACTCTTTGGTCTAGACTTCTCAAATTGAGCCGTGATACTGTTGGTCCAAGGGTGGTTGGGGGTGACTTCAACGCAATTAAATCTTTGGCAGATTATAGAGATAACTCGACTCCTAATTTGCTTAGCATGCAAGACTTTGTTGATACTTCTAATGATTGTGGCCTTATTGATATTCCATTTCATGGTTCCAAATTCACCTGGAATGGTGTTCGTAGTAATGGTAGAGTGTGGGAGAGGCTAGATCGATTTTTGGTGAATATTGCTTTTTTAGACTGTTTTGATGATCTGAGTATCAGACATTTGAGTAGAGCTACTTCGGATCATTCTCCTCTTCTGCTTATATGTAATAAGGCTGATATCAATTTTCCAAAGGCTTTTAAATTCCAACATATGTGGCTCTCTCATTCTACTTTCCTTCCAATGGTTCGTACCACTTGGAATTTGAATTTCTATGGGGGGGGGGGGAATTTCTATGGGGGGGTATGCGTGGACTTTGCCTTAAGTTAATTGCTTTGAAAAAGGCAATTAGAGAATGGAACAAAAATACTTTTGGCAATATTTTTGATGCAGTTCAAGAAGCTGAAAAGGAAGTGGAATTAGCTGAAGCTACTTTTGATACAACCCCTTCATCGCACAACAGGAAAGTCTGGCAGGAGAAACAGTGTGACTTGATTAATTAAGATTGAGGAGACCTTCTTGGAAGCAAAAAGCTCATATTTAAATGGCTCGCTGATTGGTGATTCAAATACAAAATTTTTCTATTTATTATGTGAAGATGGCTAGAGAATTCATTGTATTTCCTCTATCAAGACTGAGGAAGGAACATGGATTTCTAATTCAAGCTGATTTGTGCGAAGCTATCACTGTTTTTTTCTTCTCTCTTTCAAGTTGCAGTGATTACTCAGAGATTTATCAACCTCTTCTGGCTACTTACCATCCTTGGTTACTGAGGAGAATAACAAAAACCTTGGAAAAGATCAGCCAACTGATGATGATAAAAAATCTTGCTATTTGCAGCTTATCCGAATAGTGCTCCTGGACCCGATGTTTTGATGGAAGATCTACAGAGAGTGTTGGGAGATAATACAGTGGGTGTGGTAGTGCAGTGAAGGAGTTTTTCTTGGGTTTGCCCATTCGTAAAGCCTTTTGGTAGTGCTCAGATTATTCTTATTCCGAAAATGTTGGAAAATCCTTCTTCCTTCAATCGAGTATAGAAGCCTATATGCCTTTACAAATTTTTATCAGCAAAGTATGTACGCATTTTGGCAAATCGAATCCTCTCCGTTTGCTAGGACTCTTTTGATTTCTTAGAGAGGGCAAGCATGTTTCATGAGGGTCGCTCAATTCATGCTCAGATAATGTTGCTAAATGAGATGGTTCATGAAATTGATAGAGCAATCGAGGGGACACAATTCTAGCCATCAAGTTAGAAAGTTGGATATGGCCAAAGCCTTTGACAGGGTGGATTGGAAGTTTTTAGAAGCAGTTATGAAAAGATTTGGTTTCTCCACTCATGTGATCAATATTATTATGAGCAATCTTGCCTCTACCCGGCTTTCTGTGCTGGTTAATGGAGTTCCTTACGGTTTCTTTCAACCGACCAGAGGAGTTAAACAGGGAGATCCGTTGTCACCGTATTTGTTCATTTTAGCTTCTGAAAGCTTTACTCGGGGTCTCAATCATTTAATGACTGCAGGAACAATTTCACCTTATAAACTGGCGAGACATTGCACTATAGTTTCTCATCTTTCTTTTGCAAATGAATTGTTGATTTTTCTTAAAGGGGATGTCAGAAGCATTTCAAATCTCAAGAAATTTTTGATTTCATATCAGGCAGCTTCTGGGCAATTGATCAATTTCGACAAAAGCTCTTTCTATTGTTCTAAGAATGTCTCTCAGGATAAGGTTTCTCATATTCAAGATGCTTTGGGCATTAAAAGGAGGACTTTCCCCTTTTACATATCTTGGTGCGCCAATCTATCACCAATCTATCAAGGTATTAATAGAGCTCAGTATTGCAGTGGCATTTTACAGAAAGTCGAATCAAAGATTATAGGTAGGATAAAAAAGATCCTCTCT